AAAGTCAGTAAAAGTTGTCTGTGGTCTGCAATCTCTTGTTTTCTTCTTTATGCTTTTCCTATTTCATTAAATTTTCTACAATGACTCATAACTTTAAATCTTAAAGCAATAGTTATTTAAAATATATATAGAAAGGAAAGACATTCACTGTTGAGCAGGCCTACGGCTGATTTAAATATATATATATATATATATATTAAAAGATTTATTTTATTTAATATTCAAAGGGGGGAACCAGAGGAGATATAGAGATTTTTTTTTATTTGGAGGAATTTTCAAGTCCTCCTGAGTCCTTTTTTGTTATCCAAAGAATAATGATGTCTGTTGCTAGGAGGAAGAGACAGAGAAGCACTTGATGTCCGCCAGCATGAAGTGCGGAACTGTGCTGCATTTGCTATGAGCAGCTCTAGCAAGCTTTCTTAAGGAGTCCTAATCAGTAAAACAAAAACATTCTCAAAACACTGGCTCTCATCTTGCTCTTCTAACCCATACTCCCCCAGTGTATTGGAGTAAAAAAAAAAAATAAACTTGTGAGCAAAGTTAGTCTCTGGTTTTAATTCTAAGCCATACTTTCAATAATCACAACATACTGTTCTACTTTTGAGAGCCTCAGAACAAATAAACCAAACCTTACACAGTGCCTAGCATGAAACATAGCAAAGGAAGAGTGGGTGAGAAGTTCTAGTCAAGTCCAGCCATTTCAGGGAAAGGAACACAGGAGCCCACTTTATTTCACACTCTTGCCTAGTATAGCCAAGCCAGGTATCAGTAACATTAATGAAGATGAAAGCATATTCCCAGAAGAGGAGACAGAGCTGGGTGTTGGGCCCTGACCTACCAGGTGGCTCTGTTCTGTGATTGTGAGATTCAGACTTAACAGGAGAATCAATCTACCAGTCTCAACTTCAGCCAACCAGATCTTGCACTCTGTTTATCTCAGCTCCGGATTGGTTTGGATTCCAGTGGATCTGAACTGTTCTGGAAGAAGCAGCTGGCCTTGTGACTTTCAGACACTAGTTACTACTTTTTCAGAACATTCCTCAGATGTTCATCATTATATTTATATCCCTAGGAAAACTGAGGAAAAGAGCAAGATAAATATCTTGTTTAAGGGCCACTAAGTGGAGTGATAAAAACTGGCTCTTCTGAAAAACCATTCTTTTGCTCAGACAACTGAGCCAAGGTGATTCTTTTTTAGATTAGCAAAGTAGTCTAAAATGTCATATTTCTTTTCAGCAGTGTCATCTTACATAATCATCTGTCTTTGAAATCTCGCTGGCCTTTCTGCTCCCCCACATCCAGTTGGTTAAAAAATCTTGCTGATTCTCTCTCTACAATGATTTTGAGCTTGTCCTTTTTATGACCTCCAACCAGCTGCTTGGTTCAGCCTTCAAGGAAGTATACTCCGACGCATCTATTGTAACTGTCTTTTTCATGCATTTCCATGATCAAATACATGTTCCACATTGTTGCCAGATCATTGTCCTAAATCAAGAATCTGATCCTTTTCCTCCTGTGTTAGACATGCTTCTCTCACCCACCAGAAGCCATTATTCTAGGAAAGTATTCCTCTATTATTCTATCAATAATCTCCCTGAGTCCACTGGGTTTCATGAACTGACCCTGTTCCTGCACCGCCCTTTCCCCCACCTCCTATATCCCCAGAGATGGGCTCAGGCTCCAGGCCATCTGGACCCATCTGCTGTACACCACGTGGCTGGCCCCAAATTGAGAAATGACTCACGTGAATGGCCCCATACTAGACAATCAAAGTCTTTTCTGTGGCCCTTTGCCAAAAGTGTCCCCAAAGATACTCTCTTTTGAGTGATGCAAGCTTCCAAGGCTGCTGTGGCTAGACCTATCTGGGACACTCCCATAGAAAGTAAAGCCAAGAGAGAAGACCAAGACCAAAACCAAGACCAAGACCAAGACCAAGAGATGACACAGATAATGAGAAGCTAGAATAGAGAAGGGGGAAGGCTTCAACTGAAGGAAAGATGCCCTGGAGACCACAGTCACCACCATGCTTCTGTCAACGTGGATTTATCACCTATAGGAGCAAACAAACACTCCCCCTTTCCTGTAAACTATACTAAATTGTTTGCTTGACAATTTTATGTGCAAGAATCATAGTATATGTCACTCCACTACCTAGAACTTTTAGTAGCTTCTCATTCCCTTCAGAAAAACAAAACAAACATACAATCAAAACTCTTCAGCACAGTATTCAAATTCTTCAATGAAAGAGACCACCTTATCACTTCAGCTTTAACTCTCTTGTCCCAGACTCATCTTTTTTTTTTAATTGTGAAAATACCGTATAGAGGGGTTACAATTACATGGGCAAGATAATAAGTACATTTCTTATCAAGCATTGTTGCCTCCTTTTTTCAGACTCATCTTTTGTTAATGGTACTGGGATTTGAACTTAGGATCTTCAACTTGCGAGTGGACACTCTACCACTAAGCCATATCTCCAACCTTTATTTTTTTTACACTGATTATTTTGAAAGAGGGTCTCATTTTGTTCCCTAGATGTGCCTGAACTTTAATCTCCATATTTTAGGCTTCCCATTGTAGCTGGGATGATAGGTAGATACCACCACACCTAACGTCTTCCAGAGTTGGAATCTGATGAATGTTTCTGTACAAGCTGGCTAGAACTAGAATCCTCTTGTCTCAGCCTTCCACATAATCACAATGACAGGCATGGGCCACTGCCCCTAGTTGAAAGGGAGTGTTTTTAATTATTTTTGCCTGGGCACCATGTTCCTTCCAACTTAGCCTCCCAAATAGCTAGGAATACAGTCTTGAGCCACTGTGCCCAATGGCCAGCTTTTATTTCTTTTCTCTCTTCTTCCTTTATCTTGCTTTTCTTTTTTTTTTTTGTGGCACTGGGGTTTAAAATCAAAATTCACACAAAATTAGGGAAGTGCTCCATTGCTTCTAACCCTCAAGTAATTCTGTAAATATTAAAATCATCATCATCATCATCATAGTATCTTTGTCCTGATTTCTTTCTCCATGCTATTACCCATATTTCCTCATTCTGAATTTTCTTTTACTCTTTCCTTCAGTACTCAGTCTTCCAGGTCCAATGCATACTAAATGCTAATATATTTTTACATTTACAGTTCAGAACATGTATATCTCACCCTACTAATCACCTACTCTTTCTAAGGCTTAACTGGTAGCATCTGGTCATCTGTTCCAGAGATCAGACACTCCAAAAATGTTTGCAACTCTGAACAAACATGAAAAGGTTAATACCTAACAGCTTCTTCAGTCTTCTTTACATGAAAAATTTTCAAAAAGTAGCCTTAGTGCTATATGACTCAGCAATTGTACTCTTGGGCATTTGTCCCAGAAGAACAAATGTATATCAACAGAGAAACCTGTATACAAATATTTATAGCAGCTTTACTCATAATAGCCTCAAACTGGAAATAACACAGATGTCCTTTAGTAACTGAATGACCAAACAAACTGTGGTATGTCCATATAATAGAATACCACTTAGAAGTTTTTTAAAAAAGACACACTATTATTACATGCAACAACCTGAACAAAATTTTATGAATTATATTGAATAAAAAATCCTCAAATGTTACATATTGTATGACTATACTTATATAAATCTTAAAATGACAAAATTAGAGAAAAAGAGAACAGGAAACAGGTTGCTTTGGGTTACAGATGAGATATGAAGAGAGGAGTAAGACAAATGATTATAGCCAATAAAGGCAACAGAAGGGATCCTTACAGTGATAGAAATGTTCTGTATCCTGATTGGATCAATGTCAGTATCTTGGTTGTGATATTGAAATACAGTTCACAAAATGTTATAGGAGGAAACTACGTAAAAGGTACAAAAGATCCATCTGTATAATTTCCTATATTTCCTTCTGTGGGTCTATAATTACCTCAAAGTAGAATGCTTAATTAAAATAGAAAGTAGCTATATCCCAAATCTGAGCTAAAAAGCTGATTCTAAGTGCTGATGATCTCACAGCTAATCACAGTTCTAAACACCAAATCTCACTGTGACTCCTAAAACTATAAGGTTTTACCTATGAGGGGTGAGTAGCAATCTTAAAGCAGGCAGCAAATAGAGCCACTCTGGTCCCCATAAGAAAGGAGACAGGAAAAACATTTCCAAAACCAGGATGGTACAAGGAATAACAATTACTAACAATACAACTGTCCTTTCCCAGGTCACCAAGCTGGAACCCCAGGTGATGGTCCATCTTTGCAAGTGCATGGCTGGGGCTCCAGGGAAATAAATAACAGCCACTGATCTGTGAAATCTGATCTGTTTGCCATTTAGATCCATGTGACTCATAGAAGCTGGCTGCCCCTTCTAAAAATACAGAAAATCTGCAACCTAAGCAACTTGGGTTCATGGGCTCATGGATTTTTTTTTTTTAATTCAAGTACTACACATTTAGAGATAATGGTTATATTTATAACAGCAAGGCAAAGGAAATCCTGCTGCTCAAGTGATGGGAACTAGGTTAAAATCTAGAAGCAAAAAGGATCCAAAGGTTTATCTGGATGTATACATTTTATATGGGTTATATGACACCCTCAGGAACAGGAACATGAGCTCTGAAGTCCTTGTGGGCTAGAAGGATGTCATTCCTTGGGCATTGGGTGTGTCCTACTAAATACCTGCCCCAAAAGAGAACAGAGGGAGTCATGAGCTATTAAAGGCAGGCAGGGTGTGGTGGGCACATGAGTGACTAGACACCACTTGGACTGGCAGTAGTTGAATCTGAGAGGACACAGTATGCTTAATCTGGAACTTCTTATCTTGTACAGTCACACTAAGAATCTTTCCCAGCAATGTCCTCATCCCCAATTGGTGAATGAGGCAGTAGATTTCTGGGTATCAGCTCTTGGATACCGATTCCTTCCCCAGAAGCTGAGCCCTATGTGAGCTTTCAGAGTGGGCTTCCCTAGAGACCCACCTGCCAGAACCACTTACTGCACTTACTCACCCATCAGGACACTCAGCAACTTCTGCACTCTGGAGTTGACCCCCACGATTCGGTAGAGTCCTTGTTCATTGATCCCTGAGAAGAGAAGCAGTGACGATTTAATTAGAAGTGTGTCAGAACACAAGTCAGGCCAACAAGGCCAAATGCTTTTTTTTTCTGTTTTTCAATTTTCATTTTCTCAGTTCCTTTAAAAGCTGCTGTAATTAAAGTCCCCTGTCACTCAGCTTAGCTCTTAGCAAAGGAGTGGGATGTGGTACAGCTGTCTAGGATTTCACGGATGTGCTGCACACTGCAGCCCTCTGCAGCCCTCATGTTAGTTCAGTTATCAGAGGGGAAAGACACCTTCCTCTTCACTTGCCAAGCTGAGAGACTCAAGAATTTTTAAAGATGCAAAATATATATCCTTTTATAAATGTTGCATTTAGACCCTCCTACCTTTTTTGTGCTGTTCTTGGAGTTTGAAGTCAGGACCTGCACACTGTCCTTGAGCTTCTTTTGTTCAAGGCTAGTGCTTTTACCATTTCAGCCACAGCTCCATTTCCAACTTTTGGATGGTTAATTGGAGCTGACTTTCCTGCCTGGACTGGCTTTGAAATTCAATGCTCAGATATCAGCCTCCTGAGTAGTTAGAATTACAAGTATGAGATACCAGCACTCAGCTTTTAGCCCATTTTTTAAAGCCCTAAAATCACATGATTAAAAAATTCATGTAAAGGACAAAACCCTGATAACTTATTTTTATATGATGAAAATATTAATGTATGGCATTTAATATGTTAATGAATGCTAGCCCAAATTGACAATTTAAAAAATCCATGCATTTGCATTATAAATATTATTTATAAAGGAAAAAGGAAACCACCTTCATGAGTCCAAGGTATTATAGAACTAGACTTGACATTCCAACATCTGACCAAAGAAGCCAAAGCTAACCCACTTCATTATTCTGCTCATTTACAGATATAGTTCAAATCAATACCACACCATTTACAAAGGGAGCAATGGGGACGTAGTCACTTGAAATAGCTTTCTTCTGTATGGTGTCAACCCATCATATCTGACACTTCTCAAATAAGTAGTCTCCTGCTAGCTCTCTGATTCTCCTGCTGTCCATTTTTTGACCAAAATAAACTTCTTAAGTTCATATTACCTCTTCTCTTCAAGCCTAACAGTGGAAAACAATGTATGTATACCACAGTGAAAATTCATTATGGACCCTACAGGGGCCACATGATTGAACACAGCCCATTCTGACAACATTATCAACCAACCAACACTCAGGCTAATGTATCAGCTCATGTCCCACCTCACAACCTTTTCTCTAATTGTTCCTTCAGAAACCAGGCTCACTCTTTCACCAGATTTTTACATCATTCAAGTGTCAGCTTCAGTGCATCTTCTTTAATCTAATGCAGCCTACAGTCAACACAATAAACCACTAGAAAATCTGAATTGGCGCTGTGGCTCAAGCGGTAGAGCGCTTGCCTTGAGGGGAAGAGCTGAGGGACAGAGCCCAACCCCACAGCCCAAGCCCCAGGACCAACAATAAATAAATAAATAAATAGAATCATCCTGTGTGTGTGTGCGTGTGTGTGTATACATATATGTGTGTGTTACTAAGCCATACTTAAAGCCCTTTTGTGCTCTGATTAGTTTTTGAGATGGGGCTCTTACTTTTGGCTTCCCACTATAACTAGGAGGATAGGTCTGTACTACCATGCCCAACTTTTTGTGTTGAGATAAAGTCCCAAAGTCTTTTTTGTTCAGACTGACCTTGAGGCTCCATCTTCCTGATCTCATCCTCTCAATTAGCTAGAATGACAGGCAAGTGTCACTGTATCTAGCTAATTGATGAGATGAAATACCAACAGCTTTTTGCCTAGTTATCCTTGAATGGTGATCAGTCCCACCCATCTCTGCCTCCACAGCAATTAAGATTACAGGCATTCATCTAATCTTCGATAAGGGAGCTAAAACAATAGAATGGAAGAAAGACAGCCTCTTCAGTAAATGGTGCTGGCAAAATTGGTTAACTACATGTAGAAAACTAAAGCTAGATCCTTATATATCACCCTGCACCAGAATCAACTCCAAATGGATCAAAGACCTTGAAGTCAAAGCAGACACTCTGAAAACATTACAGGATGGAATAGGAGAAACCCTAGGTCTCCTTGGCACAGGCCGAAATTTTTTGAATAGAGACCCGGAAACACAACAAATTAAAGAAAGGTTGGACAAATGGGATTGCATAAAGTTGCAGAGCTTCTGCAGGGCAAATGACATAGCTAGCAAGATCAATAGAAAGCCCACAGATTGGGAGAAGATCTTTACTAGCCATACAACGGACAAGGGTCTCATATCTAAAATATACTTGGAACTCAAAAAATTAAACCCCCCAACCACAAATCCCCAAAGAAACAACTGCCCAATAAATAAGTGGGCGAAAGACTTAAAGAGAAACTTCTCTGAAGAAGAAAGAAGGATGGCCAATAGACACATGAAGAAATGTTCAACATCCCTAGCCATAAAAGAAATGCAAATCAAAACAACATTGAGATATCACCTCACCCCAGAAAGAACGGCAAAAATCAAGAACTCTAATAACAACAGATGCTGGAGGGGATGTGGACAGAAAGGAACCTTACTTCATTGTTGGTGGGAATGTAAACTTGTCCAACCACTTTGGAAAGCAGTATGGAGGTTCCTCAAAAGACTTCACATAGAACTCCCCTATGACCCAGCAATCCCACTTTTGGGCATTTACCCAAATGCTTACAAACAAGACCACACTAAAGCTACCACCACAACTATGTTTATTGCAGCATTATTTACCATAGCTAAGATATGGAACCAACCCAGATGCCCCTCAGTAGATGAATGGATCAAGAAAATGTGGTATATATACACAATGGAATTCTATGCCTCCATCAGAAAGAATGACATTGCCCCATTTGTTAGGAAATGGAAAAACTTGGAAAAAATTATATTAAGTGAAGTAAGCCAGGCCCAAAGAAACATAGGTCCCATGGTTTCCCTTATTTGCAATATCTAGTATATGTACGAGTCAAGCGGAAAAGGTCAGATAATGTGATGTCAGGAAAATGAACCCTTAGCTATGTATTTTAATGTTTTTTCTTTCATACATGTGTTTCTAACGCATTTATAAGATTATCTCTTTGTTGCTTTGTATGTCCCTCCCCCACAGTATAACCCCTGCTTTCACTATATTTGATGTCAGTATAACTTGTGGAGGAGATGGGGAAAAACCAGTTGTTTAAGGATACAGGTGGATCTGATGCAACAATGAGAAGTACAAGTTGTCATGTCCAAAACGAGCTTTACAAAGTTGGTGCGGGGGGAGGGGGGAAGGAGAAGGATAGGGATGGGGGGAGGGGGGAGGCTGGGAAGGGATGGGAAGGGTAAACAAAGGAGGAGGCTGCAATGCTTGGTAAGAAATGTACGTATTATCCTGCCCATGCAATTGTAACCCCTCTGTACAGTATGTTCACAAATAAAATAAAATTAAATTAAAAAAAAAAAGATTACAGGCATAGGTAGCACTAAAATTGTCTTTTAATTTGGTTCCTTGTTTGTCCATTTTTCTTCACAATAGAAACAAAAACTCCAAGTATAGCATTCTATTTGGTCACTATTATGCACCCAGGCCTTAGGTCAGTATAGGATATAAAATAATGAACAGACAGCCACTATAACCTGCACAGGGAAGCCAACATGTATTTGCTGGGGGAAAAAAAAATCAGTTCTCATGTTTTAGTGTCTTCCACAAGGCCTATACAAAACTGAAACAAGGAGGAAAACCAAAGACTGATAGAATTTTAGGGCTGAAGCCACTTTAGATCATGCCTCTCGTTCTAGATGGATCCTAGCCCGGAACACTGAGGACCAGTCCCATATTCCTCAGTCACAGAGAATTTGTTAAGTGTGTCAACTTGAAAAGTCTGAATTAACTCTCTTTCTCTTACCCCTGAGCTTTCCTAACACTTTACACAATCCTGGCTCCCAGTGGACAATTACCAATGAATCCTAGATCATTTGGATTATTGTTCATCCCTGCTCCCCACAGATATGTGTATACACAAATGCCTGGTAAGAGGGAAATGCCCACTTCCTGAATGCTATTTCACTCATAGTGTCCTCCTTTCTTATTTGGGTCAAATGAAAATCTTCTACGGGCGGGGGAGAGAAAGCTCATCAATACAGTGCATGCCCAAAGACCAGTGTCAGATGCTCAGGACCACTAACTAACATCAAATCAAATCAAAGGGAAGGACTGAGAGTTAAGAGACTAGCCCTGGCCAAGTTAGGGAGGACCTAACTCAGAAACAGAATACTAACAAAAAAAGCTGGAGATGTGACTCAAGACAGATCATTTGCCTAGCATGCAAAAGCAAAATAGAAAAAGAGACAGGAACACTTTGGATCTGTAATAGATTCTGAAAAGAGTTAAAAATGATCAGATCTCCCTCTTGGTTTTAATTGTTAGAAACTCAGAGATAGTGGCCCACCTTAGGCAAAGTGTTGGTGCGAGTGGTGTACATTCACTATTGGCTCCATCTTTTTGCCTCTACTTTGTTAACCCTGTGTTCCTTATTTCACACTCAATTCTTTTCAAATGAAAAGCAAATTTAGACTCCTGTTGAAAAAATGCCTTATTATATATAAACACCCAAAAATTAAAAACTAGAGTAAAGCAAATAGGTAAATCAAAGGAAGGTAGAAAAAAATGACACACTGGCACCTGTACAACAGGTATCTTCTCCTGCAACCACCAGAATGGGCTCAATTGGACAGGTTTCTGTAACTTCACCTTCCTCTTAAGGTATATAATTAAGAAAATAGTTAAACATGGTGGTACATACATAGTCCCAGCACTGGGGAGGAGGAAGAGGAGGCAGGAAGATCAGGAGTTAAGGCCAGCTTGTGCTACATAAAGAAACCCTGTCTCAGAGAGAAAAAGAGAAAAGTAGGGAAAATGAGACAGAGAAAGATGGCAAGAGAAAGGGAGGTAGGAATGAATAGATGGATGGAAGGGAAAAGAACAAAAAGGAGGGATAGAAAGGGAGGGAAACAATGGAAGAAATATATTTATAGTAGTGACTCATAATTTGTGCAGTATGTTTCATTATTGTAATGCTGGGGCTTGAATTCATATTGTTGGGCTTGCTAGGTAGGAGCTCTATGTCTTTGGGCTAAACCTCCAGTCCCTTTAGTTTTTTTAAGTTTTTTCAAATAGGGTCTTACTTTTACCCTTTAGCTGTCTAGGACCTCAATCCTCCTATTTAAGCATACTACACACCTGGGAATATTATTTTCCTTGCAAACTGTTTTCTTTGGCTGGTCTTGAACTTCAAGGCTTGAGTCCCAGATACTTGGACTGATTAAAGTAGTTTTTTACTGCATAACTGAACCATTGTTGACTTAATCAAATTTTGTAATATTTGGCCAGGTCTTGATTATGCATGTGAACAATACTGCTGTATAAATACCTTAATGTTTAATCTTTATGATCAATTCCTATCTACTTCCACATTGTAGTCCCTGGACATACTTTATATATCTTTGCAACCTATCATGACACTTTGCTAAACACTTAAAATTGTTTCTAAAAAATAAATTAAAAAATAAAAATAAATGCAATTAAAAATTTTTTTGGAAAGAAAATTGATTAGACACATAGGCATAAGAGGCTCAAGAGGTTGTACCCTTTTCCCCCTCCATTTAGTCAAAGTTTTGTGGCCTTTATAAAGAAGTTTATATTTCACAACTGGTAAGGTTATGACCCTGTTTTAAAATAGAAGGCTTTCTTTTCAATAGATAAAAAGGGCTGGTTGTTGGAGAGGCTGTGGAATAAACAAGATTTTCATCTCTGACAATGGTTCAAATAAAATCCAGTGAAAAGATGGTTAATAGTTTTTTCTCAGAGTACAACAGACCAGAGCCCTCAAAGCTCCAACCTGACAAAAGTGAGGATTCTCCTTTGTGGCAGTCTCTGAGAAGAGAATAGACACTATGGGCTGAACCAGCCTCTCTAATCTCAACGTCTGTTCCAGTGGATCCAGGAAAGGTCAGTACTCAACAGGGGCCATACCCTTTCTCTGGACCCAGAATCCTAACCAACTCCCCAGAACAGCAGTTTTTAACCCCAATTCCACAACTCTGTTCACTGACTGAAAAGAATCCAGAGGTTTATGACTTAGACAGGAAAGTAATTATACATTGTTATTTCCACTGACATATAACTGACATCACACATATTTCCTTCCATTATGAATGTAGGCAGAAAACCACAGTGGCATTAACAGTGGCCTGCACTGTGGTCCAAAAATCATAGCTATTTTCCTAACATATTACAGTTACTCCAGACATCTAGAAATATCACCACTTCTAGGTTTCACCACTATCAGACTCATCTTAGGAAAAAGAGAACTTGTTCACCAACAAACATAGCTACTACGATATCATAACTATGCCTTGAAGTATTTTAATAAATAAATTTCAATTTCTGGTTTCTATAAACCTATGTATTTTACACTTACGTATTTAGAACACTCCTCTTATTAGCCAAAGAGATAGATAACATGAAGCAGATAGACAATTCCTGCTTCAGCTCAATGTGATTTTGGAAACATATGAACTATGGTATTGGGGAATTAATAAGTCATTGAAAATTGGATAACAGCAGGTAGCAGGTCTGACGTCTCTCCAGATGCTTGACCTGCCAGAAGAAGAATGTCATCTGTTAAACTACTTTACCTCTGGTTTCCACAGCATGGATGCATTTCCTGATGATGCTGAAGCCAATGCTATCCAACTGTGCAGCTGAAAGAGCAAAAGAAAGGCAGTCAAGTCCTGGTTGTGCAAATCAACTTCAGGGTAAGTAAGCTGTGACCAATCCAATGACAATTATCGCATGATATGGTCATGTGTCCTTTAATTTTTTCCATGGAGAAATAAAAAATAATGAAAATAGAGTTTAAAAATGAGCTGGCATCAATTAAGAACTATCATATGCTAGTAAGGTCTAAGCACTTTGCCTGAGAGTTCTCACAGTAACTTCAAGTTAAAGTAACCAGCAACTGAATCCACCATTTATAACTGAAGAAATGGGAGCACAGTGAAGGAATCTTAGGATGGAAGTGTAGGACTGCCTATGGTCACCTTCAAACAACAAAAATGTTGGGCATGTGCTATATACTAAGATTATCTCTTTTAATTCTAACTGGTCATGCAAGATAATGATGTCTATCATCAGTTTCATATTACAGATGAAGAATCAGAAGTTTGTAAATACTAAACTTCTCCAGTGTTGCAAAGTTAATATATGGAGGCTTGTCCAGAGTCCATAACAAATACGGCCTTATATATGACCCTAAGTTAATGTATAATCCTGTTCAGGTAACTAGAAAAAAAGGAAAATGAAGAGGGAAAGGGGGAAGAAAATAACCCAGAGGAAAATTAAAACAGTCAAGGACAAAGAAGCTGCTATAGTTAGAAATGCTCAGGTAGTCCAGCCAACCTTCCCTGTTGCAAATCAGCAGGTGGTGAGAGGCTTCTCAACTTGCTTCACAACCTACTAGTGTCACTCAGAAAATATATACCCCACAGCAACAACCTCTCCCACAATGAAAAGCCAAGTTTCTAATCTGGCAACTAGGAGCATGGAAATCTACCAGCCCTTCCCACAATGCTTTGGTTCCCAGGATAAATGTGTATGGTCATCTGTAAAAATGGGCTCCTCCTTGATCTCCTCAAGACATTGGGACAAGACCTTCTATAGATCCATGATGGGAGTGAAGGAAGGTGTGGTTGAGAGTGTGAAGATAGGTTAATTCCAAATGATCTGTGATCATTCAGGGAAAAAACCAGTTTTCATTATATGAGAACTGAGCAATATCTGAACTTATCTTGGCTCATCCAAATGAAATCTTTCTCAAATCCTTGGTGTAATCAGATCTAAAATCTGAAAAATCACTGAAAATAGCCAAAATCAAAGTAAAAAGAGAAAAATTCTCCAAAATTTCTTACCAAAGTGTATGTAAGTATAGAACCAGAAGAAAAACAAGAAAATAACAACTATCAACCCCAGAAAATTACGTGCCACACAGATCATTCTTCTTATTCCTTAAGACAGCTAAGAAGCTGACTGTTAGTTTTCTTGATAATGGCCATTCTAACTGGGCTGAGGTAACATCTCAGTGTTGTTTTGGTTTACATTTCTTTTATGGCCAGAAATGTTGAACATTTCTTCATGTGTCTATTGTCCATTCTTCCTTCTTCTAAAGAAATCTCTTTAACCCATTTGTTAATTGAGTGATTGTTTCTTTGAGGGTTTATTGCGGGGGGGGGTGGTAACTTTTTGAGCTTTAGGTACATTTTAGATATAAGGCCCTTATCAGATACATAGCTGGTAAAAAAAAAAAAAAATCTCCCATTCCATGGGCTTTCTATTTATCTTGTTAGCTATGTCCTTTCACATGCAGACACTGTTCACTTTTATGGAATACTATTTATCCAGTCTGTCTTTGATTTGTTGTAATTCTGCATTTTTACTTAGGAAGTTTCAACCCATGCCTAGGAGCCATAGTGTTTCCCCTACCCCTTCTTGTAATGTTTTTATGGTATCTGGGCTTACATTGAGGTCTTTGATCCATTTAGAATTAATTCTGGTACATATGTGCAATTGATCCTATAAAATAATGTTTATCTACATGAATTCAGGAAATGAAAACAAGAGGCTACTTTTTTCTTTTTGGTCAGTCGTGGGGCTTGAACTCTGGGCTTGGGCGCTATCCCTCAGCTCTTCAGCTCAAGGTGAGCACTCTACCACTTGAGCCACAGCGCCACTTCTGGTTTTCTAGTTGTTTATTGGAGATAAAAGTCTCACAGACTTTCCTTGCCCAGGCTGGCTTTGAACCGTGATCCTCAGATCTCAGCCTCCTGAATAGCTAGGATTACAGGCATGAGCCACCAGCGCCCTGCTAAGACGCTTTTTTCTTAGTTGCTGTTTGTGTTTTCTTTTCCTTTTGTCTTATTTGTTCATTTATCTATCTTTGGGAGGATTAATGGGAGGAGGCACAGAAATGATGGGACAAAGGGAGAACAAATGCACCAGTGGCACTGGAAAGATACTATGTTGGAAATGAACTACAGAGCTTGTGGGTAGGGACAGGAGGACAAAACTGGGAGAGAACAAGGGAAGCAGTGACACTGTTTAAAAAGATATATACTCTTAGTCGGGTGCTGGCAGCTGCATTAGCTAGCTATTCAGAAGACTGAGGTCTTAGATGGCAGTTCAACAACAGCCTGGGCAAGAAAGTTCATGAGACTCTTATCTCCATTAACCCCCAGAAAACTGGAAGTGGTGCTGTGGCTCAAAGTGGTAGAGTACTAGCCTTGAGGGAAAAAGCTCAGGGACAGTGCCTACGTCCAGAGTTCAAAGCCCCATAACCAATCAAAAAAAAAAAAAAAGAAGAAGAAGAAGGAAGAAAGAAAGAAAGAAAGAAAGAAAGAAAGAAAGAAAGAAAGAAAGAAAGAAAGAAAGAAAGAAAGAAAGAAAGAAAACAAAAGATTTTTAAAAATCCTCATTTCAATATCTTGGAGTTCATTTCAATTAGCAATATTTTATATGGTCATATGTACATAGCTATTGAGCTGATCTTCTGCTAGGACTATCCTAGACATATACTAATTATTACAAATGAGAGAAACCATGAAGCTAGGTTTCTAGAGGGTTAGTTTTTTTTCTACCCAAATATTTGTCTTTTATTTCTTCTTTTATTATTATTGTCAAGGTGATATACAGAGTGGTTACAGCTACATAAGACAGTAAGTATATTTCTTGTCAAACTTGTTACCCCTTCCCTCATTCCTCTTCTACTTTCTTTCCCACCACCCTCCACCACCACCTCACCCTGCAAGTTGACAAATCACTTCCAATACATTGTCTTGTGTATATTGCTGTTGCATTGGTTCTGTGTTGTTGTTTTTAATGCACTGTGTGAAGTTATTTCTTTTTTCTTTCATTTCCACCCCCCTTTGGCTTATCCCCTGCTGTCACTGTTTTTGATTTTGATACCCTATGTCTTGTACATACATTTATCTGCTTTGGGGAAGGAAAGAGGAATAACAAAATGGTAAGACAAAGGATAAAGGGTGAACCAGTACAACAGTGATACTGGCAGACATGCTGTTGGAAATTAACTTTACAACTTGGGAAGGTTGGAATTGGGGAAGAGGAAAAGTGGAAGAAAATGAGGGAGAGGGTAAAACTGACAAGAAATATACTCATTACCTTACTTGTGTAACTGTAACACCTCTGTGCATCACCTTTACAATAAAATATTATTAAAACAGAAATCTTTATCTGACATAACTGTAACCCCTCTATATATCACTTTTATAATAACAACAAAAATGCCCAAAAAGGGAGGGGTTGGGAAGGTGGTTCAGTGGTAGAATGCTTGCCTTGCTCGAAGTACTGCATTCGAATCCTCAGCACCACATAAGCAGAAAAAGCCAGAAGTGGCACTATGGCTCAAGTGGTAGAGTGCTAGCCTTGAGCTGAAGGATAGCCCCCAGGCCCAGAGTTCAGGTCCAATCACACACACACACACACACACATACACACACACCTATTAGTTAACCCTCTAGGCTTTCCAGTATGGGTCAAGTATTTATTCTGCAAATGGTGCTATCGTGAGCATTCTGATTAGAAGCATTCTGGTATACACACCAGACTGGGATTATTATTCCAGATAAAACTCCATTAAACTGAAAATTTTCAAATACGGTTATAATATGCAACACACAGTTTAAATAGCAGTTGGAATCCAGAGCAGAATTTGTTTTCATTTTAAATGGGTAATTTTACTAAGATATAATTAATGTACCATAAAGTTCACCTACTTTAAGTGCACAATTTGGCTGTTGCTTGTATGTTTGCAAAGCAAGGAATTTATCACCACTAGCTCCAGAACATTTTGGTCCCTTCTTCCCCCAGAAAAACCCTATATACTCTCCATCTTTCCCATCCCCCATTCCAGGATCCACCATGAATTGGCTTTCCTTATGAATATGACTTTCCTCTTTATATATGCTGCACACCTGTGAAATAATAAAATATATGATCTCTCATATCTGGCTTCTTTCACTTATGTTTTCAAGGTTCATCCATGTAGCGTAAGTACATCACTCCTTTTAAGGCTCAGTAATATTATATTGTGTGTATCTGTATATCTATTTATATCCATATATACCATCTGGTACTTATTCATCAGTTGTTTGACATTTCAGTTGTTTCCATTTGTGGCTATTAAGTATAATGTGACTATGAACATCTGTGTCCAAGTCTGTGTAGACATATAGCATAATCTCGGGTCAAAGGGTAAATCTATGCTTGACTTCTTGAGGAACTACCAAATTGTTTTACAAAGCAGCTGTACCATTTTACATTCCCACTAGTGCAGTGTAAGTGTTCCAGTTTCCCTACATCCTTGCCAACATTTATTATGGTCTTTTTTTTATTGTAGTCATCCTAGTGGGTGTCAAGAGTTATTTGTCTGTGGTTTTGATTTGCATTTCCCTGAAGATTAATGATGCTGGGCATCTTTTCATGTGGAAGGGAGGACATTCATTCCTTTGTACAGTAGTCAGAATACAGCCTGCTGGAAAGTATTTGTCAGGGAATTACTTTTTTGTGCTTAAGGAGATTTCCAAAATGTTTATTCAGTAGGCAGTTTTAGTCTTTTAGAGACTCTTTTCAAAGTCATAGTCCTCAAAGGAGTTTATGGGAAGAGGAATAATCACTGTGCACAGTGCTT